GGCAAGATTGAGCAAGATCAGGCGTGTGGGATTTTCGACCCAAGCTCTCGCTCTAGGCAGAGGGTTAACCTCCAGGGTAATTCCATATATGAATTTTGATTTTGGAGGGTGAGGTCGTCATCTGGATGGGACGAGTGATCAGTGCATGACATCCATGCTTTGCTTTTTTTACTTCATTTTCCTCCCATGGTCGGCCCAACAGTGGATCAGCGGGCCGAGCCCGTCCCAAAGATTCAGTCTATAGAGAAGCATCCAGGACCATTCGGAGGAAGGAAATAATAGCGAACCCCAAAATGAGGAACAAAACAAAGAGAAAAAGCAAGACATCTAACCGCTATTGATCGCAGCCCAAAGGGATCGTCACACTGACTCGGGAATGATTGGCTATTAGCGACGGATAGAAAGGAGGATGACATCTCGACTGACATCTGACCATTCACGAGTGATGAGTTTAGTACATAACAAGGTACGAAAAAGATACTTGAAAATACTTATCTCAAGTAGATGTGTAAGTCAAGTGGTAAGTAGCAATTAGTATTCTTCGTACGCGCCGTGACTAAGGTATAGCACAGACCATATACTCCCCACGACAGGGATTTGTCTCAAGCCGGCAGAACGAGGATCGATCGATAGGCTATCGTTTATCGATAAGCCCAGCGTCTGATTTCCCCCACTTAAGATTGTTGGTGATGGCTTTGGGTTTACGAAGTACATCATCCAGGAGAGAAAAAGGGCAGTCCTCTATGTATACAACATCAGGTACATAGTCCGTGCTAACGTTGAATAGTTATGCATGTAGTCATTACTCCATACCTGTAAATGAGTGAATAACTACCAGGATTGCCATCGAGACTGGACTCTTAAAACAAAACTGACAAAAATCTTCTAAATGAAATAGAAAATGAAATAGAAAATGAAATAGAAAATGAAATAGAAAATGAAATGAAACCCAAATAGAAAATTAAAGCCGAATAACCAAAATACTAACCAAAATAATCAAACACCAACAGACGCAGGTCTGCCCAAGCAAAACAATGCAGCCAATAACGGAGATGCTGTCTCGGGGGCCACACTTGCACTCCCGCGCAGACCGCTGGATGAGTACTGGGTACTTGATCGACAGCCTATTCTCCACCACCCACATCGGTACTCGGTACCTGTGGGTACAATGTCAACCGCACGAGCACTGCATCTGCTCATACATAGCCTGCCTTCCCCCCCCGAACTAGATCACAGCATATTCCCCCCTCTTCGAGATTATATCGTCATCTTCATATTCATTTCTATACGACTACCTACTCTTTTCCCTCTTTGGTGATTTTACTTATATCCCAATTTTTCTATAAATCATCTTCCCCCGCCCCACCCCTCTCTCTCGCAGACACACACCGCCTCTTCATGATGGCACAATATTTCCAGTCTGAATTCTACCAACAATCACCATCGACATTAGACGTGGCACCGGAAGACGACGAGATGAGCGTGTTGGACGACAAGATCCTGGACCCAAATTCCGAAGACCATCCCGACAACCGCCGCGCCTCCTACGACGCCGCAGATGGCTACTCACATCGGGATTCCGTCTGGTCCAACTACTCAAACACCAGCTCCAGCCAGGCGCAGTCAAATTCGCATTCACAACTGGGGCACGCTATGCTGAACTCAACGGGTGCACCTTTCATGCCCATCGACGGCCCGCAATCAGCTTCCTACCCGCAGGCATCGTGGCCCATGCCGCGCACGGATTCAGGTTCATGTACCCCGACCGCGGGCTATGATCAGTATGCTGCCAACGGGGACCAGAGCACTATGACTCCTTTCTCTGGCGGTGCGGTTGGACCCGTCGGCGCTATGCCCATGAACCCCATGTACCGTGGAGGTATGGCGTTTGCAACTCCTGGCAGTGTCGCCATGTCACCGCAATCAAGTCAGGGCTGGATGCCGGCGCCAATGGACCTGGCTGAGGCAGAGCTACACTCGAGAAAGAGCCCGAATTACCGGATTGTCAGGCCGTTGCGGCGGGGGGATGGGATTCGGAAGAGGAATTCCCGCATTGAAATCGCCCCCGAACTGACTCTGGATAATATCGACGAGGCCATCAGGGAGTGCACGGACGAAGAAGGGAAAAAGCGTCTCAAGGCGGTCAAGCGACTACTGCGGAATCGATACGCAGCGTAAGTTGAGATCCATGCGTTGAGTTGGGCCCAATGCTAACCTTATTGCAATAGGCTGCAATCTCGTCAACGCAAGAAGAAGGATGCCGAAAATGAAATCGAGAAGAATAAGGTACTGGATGCAATGAACACCCAGCTGAAAGAGAAAGAGAAAAACCATATTATGAGAATAAAAGAGCTGGAGTATGAGAATCACCAGTTGACTGCCTACAATAGGCAGTTGACAGAGCATATCCAACGCCAGGACATGGAGAAAGACGACACTATTCTCAGACACACGCGGGAGACAGCCGACCTGTTGAAGAGGAACAGCATGCTGGAGGAGAGAGTCAAACAGCTGGAACGCAGCGTCAAGCCCGTTCAAGAGGTCATGGCGGTTGACTTCACCGGCTTCGAGAACTCCACCATGCAAAACCACTCATGGGACGACTTCTCAATGGTCACTGGACCCCCCTTGCAGCCGGAATGTGTCCAAACTCCCCGTTCCCAGGTTAGCCAGCAGGTTAAGGTCCCAGAGAAATCCAACAACGGATCAGAGCTGCCGATCAGCTGGAACGCCTTCTACATGTTCCTGCTTGTTGGTGCCTTCATCGCCTCGAACAGTAATTCCTTACCGGCCAGCTCACTGCCCCAACTCTCCGAAGAGTACCAAGCCGAGTCAGCCAACGTGCTGAAAGCAGTGCTGGCCTCGTCACCAGGCCACGAGCTCACCCACCCCCACTCCATCAATCACGGGACAACAACCGGACCTGCCCCGGCAACTATCAGCGGCATGGAAATGGCGCAGATGAGCTCTATGCAACCCGTGCCGTCAAACCTAGACCAGCTGCATAACACGCTGGTCATGCCGACAGAGGAGCAGGAGCGTGAACAGGTGTTCTCAATGAATGCGGACCAGTACAATACTCTGACAACATTTGAAGGAGACAACGGGGACTTTAAGCCACAGCAGCCATCTACTCTGCAGCAGGCGTTCGCTGCGATGCGTGATACCGCCGCGCAGCGGAGTCACATGCACTCGGCTCTGTCTTCAGATGTGTATTCCAGATCATTGATGTGGGACCATGTGCCTGAAAAGGTTGTTCGGGACTTCCGCCGCATGGTGCAGGGTCATGGCTACGACACTCCCGTCAAGGAGGAGGGTATTTTCCACTCTTGAGGTTTTCCTTTCGGGATTATTCCTGCGATTTTCCAACAGACATTATTTCTTGTGATTCTTTTCTTCTACCTTTCTTGCATTTCCTGCGACATCTTACTTGGGATTGTTGCTCGATCTAGCCCCTTTCTCTTCTCCTTCTCCTTCTTTTTTTCTTTTTGGAAAATACGGGCTAGCAATGGCCCTTGAAATACTAGCGTGCAACGATAGATCACGCAACACTTTTTTATTGTTCTCTTATTTGTGTATCTTTTTTCAATGTCTTCCTTTTTACCTTTCGAGTTTGGTCCCAGGGGTCAGGTCCACTCGGGCACAGGGGGCTTCGTTTAGCGATGTGATTTTAGCGATTGGCTTCGGAGCGTGTTTCTGTTTCTTGTTTTGAACGATGGGAGGGGGACTATATTATACGAAAGACAGGGTGGAAACCTGAATTATGTGTTGATGTGTACAGGCCTGGGGTCCTCTCTGCAAGCTGGGATGGGATCCTGGCATGGGATACGAGAAACGAAACGAGTTATGAAGAAATCTTGCATGTGGCAATTGCATTCAACTGTGCTTATTATGACTTGTTTTATGAACTATGTTTTATGTGACTATTTAGCGATCTGGGCTGGGACAGTGTCAGGCATTATGAGTGGAATGGGATGGGATGGTCTCGTGCTTTCGGGCTGGATGAACTTGCTTTTTCATGTTTCCAAATATTTTCTTTTGGCTTTCAGCTCTTAGGCCCTGGAAGTTCAACTCTGGACTCCGGACTTAACTCGCCTTGTCTTAGCCTGAGCGATTTTGCGCTGAACCCATATATGGCTGGCTACAGGCTAACTAATGTGATATCTCACCACGCCACACGAACCGCTCCTGCGATGTAACTGCTATTGTTTAATTCGTTATTGGCTCGGCTCTTGCCGGCGCAGCGCACGTGTTTCTGCTTTTGACGACGGAAGCATCTCTGCTGATGGGATATCTCCGATCCGCATGTTGATATTACCCGTGGACGGACTATCCACCTCGAAATATCCATATGCGACGACGGGATGACATCTAAGTTCAAGCTACCATGCATCAACTGCCCTTTTAAGTAGTATCCCCTCTATAAAAAGTCGCCATGGCCGGGATTGACCCACGCGTAATCTTAGTTAAAGGACCTTGGGGGGCAGCTCATGGCACCAATACCCAATCACTACCAGGGGATTTGGTCCACTCACAAGATTTGCGTGGAATACTTGCCTCCCAAGGTTGTTCCAAGCTTTGACAAGCAATTATCCGAGCCTTGGTTTTCTAACGTCTGTAGGGCTGGTTGCTTCCGGGCATTCGATATCAAGGAAAACCCCTAAGTTCTCAGCACAATAGCAGCACACCACATAGATCAGGAACTTCGAACATCAATTATACATTTTAACAATATTAGGAACTCGAAGATAATTAAATAAAGCCTATCATGCAACTGGTGATGGAAAAGGCTAACCACCACGCTAATATAACATGGACCTAAACGTCCCAAGGTCCTCACCCCGAGGACCCTAGGAAGCCCATGGCTTCTTCTCTGATATAAAACAGTCTAACAATTCCTGTATGTGGGAATCAAGATCGTCGTTTTAATTCCTCTTCTTTGAGCCTTTACTTCGGCTTCTCCCTTCCAAGTCGCGGCACGATCTACCAACTTAATCAAGATGTCTTTCGATCCTCACAATATTGATCTGGACACGGCCGACCCGGCTGAGATTGTTTGCTACCTTAATGCTGGGGGCAACGAGTACAATGGCCAGATGGGTGCGCGCGTCTCGGCCATATTCGTGATCCTCATCGTCTCCACAGTGGCTACCCTCTTCCCCGTGCTAGCACAACGCGCACCACGCCTACGCATCCCAATCTACGTCTATCTCTTCGCCAAGTACTTCGGTGCTGGTGTCATCGTGGCAACAGCCTTCATTCACCTCCTCGATCCCGCATACAGCGAAATAGGTGGCCAGTCCTGCGTCGGAATGACAGGCCACTGGGCTGATTACGCATGGTGTCCGGCAATTGTATTGACATCAGTGATAGCCGTCTTCCTCATGGACTTTGGCACCGAACGCTGGGTCGAGCTCAAGTACGGTATCTGTCGCGATGACCCAGAGACCATGATGTCGAGTGGAGGTGAGGTGCGGCGCGTGGTCTCGCGCGCTTCGGCACGCCACCCAGACGACAAGCAAGTCAAGGAGATTGAGTCACAGGCTGAGGAGCTGGCGATTGAGCGCTCCATCAAGCAACAGATCGCTGCGCTGCTGATTTTGGAGTTCGGTATTATCTTCCACTCTGTCATTATTGGTCTGAACCTTGGTGTTTCAGGTGACGAGTTTGCTACGCTTTACCCTGTGCTGGTCTTCCATCAGTCCTTTGAGGGACTTGGTATCGGGGCACGCATGTCCAGTATCCCATTCAAGAAGGGGAGCTGGTTACCCTGGGTCTTGTGTACTGCTTATGGTCTCACGACCCCTGTTTCCATTGCTATTGGTCTTGGTGTGCGCACGACTTATAACCCTGGGTCTTTCACTGCCAATGTTGTCTCCGGTGTGCTGGACTCCATCTCGGCTGGGATCTTGCTATACACTGGTCTTGTTGAGCTGCTTGCCCGTGACTTCTTGTTTGACCCTCACCGCACTCAGAATAACAGGCGGTTGACTTTCATGGTGCTGACTATGATTCTTGGTGCTGGTATTATGGCTCTGCTCGGAAAGTGGGCTTGAACTGGAATTGAGTGGAAGATCTAGAGACGGTGTGTCTCTTTGGTGACAGACATGTGAATGTAAGATAGTGAGCTGTTGCATTGGATATAAATCGGGTATAATTGGTAAGTATAACTGGGTTTCAAGACAAATGATACCCGAGGTGCGCTGGCTTCATGACAACTTTCCTTTTTTTTCACAAGTAGGATAGATAATCCTTCTAATACTTGCGGAAGGAGAGATAAAAGTAGTAGCAATGCAAATAATATAAGTGTCGTTTAATCGATCCACTGCTGAGATGCCCAAATTCTAATATAGGGGTGCAATAGTGATATGGAGAAGGCTCTCGCTTGTAGATGTGGCCGAAAGACTAATTGATAGACGCCCAAAGAGCGAAATCTCCATGACCTCTCTGAATCTGTTTCGTGTCCACCTAGATAACTTACGTACGAATAGTATCATATCTAGTTAACGCAATTCTCGCGGTTCAAGTTCTAAATTGGGAACATTGAAGCTAGCTTAACCTCTGTCATGAGAAATCAAGGCTATTTAGGTCCAAGCCTTCAATACATTCCTTCAAGTTCGCAAATAAGGATCCGAAGGATGAGTCCAAACACGTGTGGTCATAACCCCCATACCTCGAGCATAAATCAGGCCATGTTGGTGATTTGAAGGACAATACCTTCCGCCTCAGATATTTGTAATTCAAATTTGGAAAGGGGGCAGCAGACTTCTGTGAAAGAAGATCACTTGACTGCATCTGTATCGTAAGAGCTCCATACATGATTGCCCTACACTCAAAGCGACAGCCTCGACTGCCGCCCAGGAGGGCCTCGCGTGTTTCATGAAGGATGGAAAGCACATTGTTGATAGCCTCCTCTCTCGATTGGTTCATCAATCCTGCAATTTTATTAGATACTGAACAGTTTTAGGATTGGTCTAACCTTACCAATAACCTTATCAGGGATCGGAAGCCCCCAAGAATTGATCGAATTTTCGCTGCATGACATAACAGTCGATGTTGTCTCTTTGAACGGGGAAGGAAGCTGGAAAAACCAGGAAACCCATACCCACAACATCGAATTCCGAGAATATCTCGTAGGAAACTTTTCCTCCAGATTGTTGGTCCAGACGTCTGTCATAACATACAAAGCTTCCTTGCATTCATAGTAATCCGCTATGACAGCGACTTTGGCGAGCATCTCGAGGGTCAGCTTTCGCGGTATGTGGTAGTATTTCCCATGAAGAGCACGGAGTACAATCAAGAACTCTTCGATGCCCCAGCCCTCTGCAGTAATTTCAACTGAGCTTTTTTGCAGAAAATTGACGCTTTCCTTCCAACCACCGGTGAGCATGCTTTTGAACATTGGGGATGAAAACATTAAATGTTTTGCGGAGACTTGGATGTAGAAACAGTTCTTGACAAGCGGTTCATCGATTTGCTCTTCGGCAGCAGGGTCTTCGATCGGTGCTAGTTCAGGAGATGTCCGCTGATTCTCTGAATTGGTTTGTGGGGGTTCGATCACTTCTGCAGGACTCTGGGTATAATGGCCGGGTGCTGGAGGGGTCATGCCAGTGAGAGTGTCTTCAAGCGCTTGTGCGAAAGGCGAGTCTGCATCGCGCAATACTATGATCACTTCACCGTCTGGATCAATGATATAATCTGGAGTTTGTCGATTCATCTTGGGTGTCGGGGGGATGAAGAGATGAAGTTGTTCCTCGTAAAACGGGAGATAAAAGAGTTGATTCTCTGCAGTAGGCTACCGTGTGTCGTAGGAGGAGATAGAAGTGCAAGATTATGAGGGTAGAAAGGGAGTCCGGGCAGGAGGTAGGTCAGGTACTCGGGACTTTGCGCAGTGGAGATCTCAAAGGAGAAACAATACGTATGATCCCTATGGCATGGATGGACTGGAGAGAGGAAGAAGGAAAGAGAGAGGGGCGAGAGAAAGGTATTTATAACTCTCTCATGGGGATAGCAAACAGGTGCTGTCACCGTGCCTAGATGATGAGATCCCAGTAACCCAGTTAGGGACCCCTTCAAGCTTTAATCCCTCTCAGATGTCAAAATCCGCTTAATGCAAATAAGACACAAGTCCTCTAGCATCATGAATAACTCTAGTTAGTTGCATACATTCTAGAACTTGGTCATTGGGAGGTCAGATACGTTGGGACCTACTATTACTTTCTGAAAGTCATATCAAAATGATATTGTTTAGCCCCAAACTATTGCTCAAGATATGTGCCTTGCAGAATCGCCCTGTACTGCACAACCCCGATAATGGGGAGAAAATATCCAAAAAGAAAAAAGAACTTCGCAAAAGACTTCCAGCTAAAAAGTGACACTTACGTAGGTTGGCAAGCTCGTATCACTCGCCGCATCTCTTGGGATGCTTCACATGTCTTGTCTTGTGTGCTGCTTCAACCAGTCAAGCACAGTGCGGTATCACAAGAGCAAATTCTCAGGGCTCCGGATGCTATGGTCCTCATCCGGAAATATGAGCAGACCACTCTCAACTGACTGTAACTTCAGGGTGTTAAACGCCGCCAGGGCTTCAGAGACAGGATGCTGACAATTCAATTCTCCATGGATGATCAATTGTGGCGTCTTCCAGTTGCCGGCGAACTGTGCAGGGTCCCATTTTCTCCACGCCTCTGGATTCAGCCAAGGTGCTCCACCCAGTCCATGAAAAATCAAATGCTGTGTATCGCTAGCTAGGTGAGAGAGCAGATTAAAGATTACATTATCCTCGATCAAAGCTCGGAACCTGCGGCCCATGTCGTGACCTTGCATCCAGTTACCATGTAGCCTCCGTAACCGAGACCGAGTGCCACTGCACGCTCAGTGTCGACGTACTTGAGGGACTCGCAAATATAATCAAGGCCTTTTTCTAGGTCTGAGTACGGCTTTCCAGCCCATGAGCCTCGTATGGCATCAGTAAACTCATGCCCGTAGCCTGTACTTCCTGTGGGATTTGGCGCCACGACGATATAACCGTGCTCGGCGAAAAACGCAAGATGGCAACGCATGTCCCAGCGTTCTCTCCAGCAATGCTGCGGACCATTATGGATAACGTAGAGCAGGGGGTATTTCTGCTTTGGATTGAAGTACGATGGCTTAACCACCCATGCATGGATCTGACGCTGTTCGTCACCCGGAAACCATATCTGGTCAACTTGGCTCTTTGAAAGACCAAAGTTCTCTCTACTGAAAGGTGGTAGGGGCGAACTGCGAGGACCTTGAGCCGGTAAATCTTGAATGATGACCTGCCTGCTGCTATGAAAGCTGTCGCAAGACACCAGAACCTGTTTTGATTTCCCAGGCAGGGGTGTGACATCCATGACCGAACCCAATGGAATAAGACTGTCAAATAACTTCAAGTTAGTTGGAGTCGGCTCGTTCGGCCAAGTATTCAGGTCGAGATGGTAGAGTACTTGACGTCCTTCTCGGTCGACCTGGATGAGTAGGGATCCGTTGGAGGCAAATGAAACTGCCGATGGGCTGAGGTTCCATTGTTCCCTGCCATCAGCAGACGCAAAGGTCTCTTTGCTTTCCCTGGTCTGGAAATTTGTTACCAGTACAATTCGATTTTTGTCAGCGGCGTGTCCATCTTCCCTCTTGCACAAGGGGGCGAAATGATGCCCGAGTTTACAGCGGGAGAGCACATGGCACCTCCCAAGCCACGGTATCGCCAAGCATGATAGTTTTCATCTGTTGGAGGATATCTAGTCCAACCGAAAAAGGGACACAAGTAGCACGATGAGGCCATGTGTGTCGATTGATCGGACTCAGCGTCTCTGGCGATAAACGCGATGAAGTAAGTATCTTTGAAAAAGTCCAGGGAATCTTCATCTAACGATCCATTTAACTCGATATCTCCGAGCTGGAAGTATTCCATCAAGTTCGTTATACGTGTCATTGTATATCGACCCTCTGGGGCCTGTGATGGGCGGACGAGTTGTTCACTTTGGCCCATCCACCTGGGATAATTGGCATGAGGGTCATCGGTGATAGCCCAGGATCGTGGAGAGTTTATGTCCTGCACGCAGATCTGCGCAAACATGCTGTGCGAGCGGAACGAATAAGTCTGCTGTGTGTACACTGCGAGATTCCCGGATGCATCTGGGATAGGGTGGCTGCAGATTGGCGCTTCCAGTAGGGCCCTTCATAAAATTGTGCTCAGTTATAGACACAGGGCAGTAGAAATGGAACTTACTCGGGGGTCGTCCTACGGTTACGTATGGCCATAGTCATATTCAGTGTGTGCTTTGTGTAGACGAAGGTCTCAGGGACGGTGAGGGGTGTCCTTTTCGCCAGTGGCCTTCTGGCATCAACAAAACCTCAAAAAAGCTAAATGGAACAGCAAGGTAATGCAATGACGGAAGTCAATAAATAAAAGTCAAAGAATATTAAATAGTTATAAACGTCATGGTCGAAACCCTTCAAGGAACTAGGTAACAGCTGCACTACTGTTCCAGACACCTGCCAGATACAGAATTAGCAGGGTTAAAGCGTCAAAGGATATAGGTAAAGCCCCCCTACGCATATAATAACTTAGGAGAATGAAATGTCCAAATCAATGTGGGTAAAATGATATGCAGGATTTATTTTTGTAGTATCGGAGAGATCTATAAATGGTTGAGAAGTAGTCAATAACGAACCACACCTCGCAAGGGCAAGACACCCGAGAACAGTCCATTCTAGCTCTATACATATGTATAGCATGGCTGCGTTTTCGTGAGACTATTCTATGACCAGGCTAAATGAGCTGTATTGTTCTGTCTCTGCCTGTAGAGTGGACATCCCAGCCCAGCTCTTATCGATAACAGTAGCTCGGCTGTCCCCACCACTCCATGTCTACCAGCAACCAACTCTCTTTACCATCTCTCCTTCACTCATCACCATGGCCTCCCAAAAGATGACCAACGCCCTGGCGGGCATCGAAACGAACCCTCACCAACCAACAAAGCTACAGCAATACACCGACCTCCTCAATGAGATGGTAACAACCTCCACCGGCCACGAACTCGCCCAAGATCTAGTCTACTACCTAGACTCAATCCTCAGCGAAGAAGTGAGCATCGTCGCTGCCCGCCCCCTTCTCGACGCCTTCATCACAGTCCTCCAATCCCTCACCGCGGAAACAAAAATAAAAGTCGGCCAGCACGCCATCACCCTCCTCCACACGCGCTCCGCCTCAGTCGAAGAACAAGACTCGCAGATCCGCGAGATCCTCGCAGACGCCTACGAATCCCAGGAAGAATACACATCCGCCGCCCGCGCTCTACAGGGCATCCACATCGACAGCTCACAGCGTCTAGTCTCCGACGCCGCCAAAGCCCGCCTCTGGATCCGCATCGTGCGCTACTATCTCGAAGACGACGATACCACCAGCGCTGAAGCCTTCCTCAACCGCATCAAGAACCTCCCCTCCAAAATAGAGGACCACGATGCAAAGCTCTACTTCCAGCTCTCCCAGGCGCGCATCCTGGATGCCCGACGTCGCTTCCTCGACGCCGCCCAGGAATACTTTAGCGTGAGTCTCGCGCCGGGCGTCGATGAAGAAGACCGTCTGACAGCCCTGTCCGCGGCGATCCGATGTGCTGTCCTTGCGCCTGCTGGCCCGCAGCGGTCCCGCTCACTTGCCCGTCTGTACAAAGACGACCGCACGCCCTCCGTTGAGGAATTCGGCATCCTGGAGAAGATGTTCCTCGACAGGCTCCTGACGGCCAATGAAGTCGCCGCGTTCGCGAAGAAACTTGCGCCGCACCAGCTCGCTGTTACGGCGGACGGGACGACCGTTCTCGATAAGGCGGTTATCGAGCACAATCTCGTGGCGGCGAGCAAGCTGTATGAGAATATCCGCGTTGATGACCTGGGCTCGATTCTGGGGTTGCAGTCTTCGGGGGATGTGTCAGCTGGTGAGAAGGCGGAGGCATATGCGGCGCGCATGGTTGAGCAGGGACGACTACGTGGTCGCATTGATCAGATTGATGGGGTGATTTCGTTTGATGCTGAGACTCTCGGTGGCGCCTCCGCGGGTGCTTCTAATGGGACGAAGCTGAGGCAGTGGGATCTCGGTGTGCAGGATCTTGCGGAGGATGTAGAGAGGGTTGCCACTAGTATTGCTGATCAGTTTCCGGTATGTGCTGGTTTTCGTTCCGTCTGAGGTTGTTTCTCTTGCTAATATCTTGACTCTAGGAATTTGCTACCAGCCGGATGGTGCATTGAATGGTCCGCTGTATCTCGTCTGTGTGCCCATTTGATGAAAGATCTACGAATTCATGCCTTCTACCTACCCTTGCATATCCTTTTAGCCAGCCTGAGAAATGAAAAGTCAAGCTCCATTTGCTGATAACCCTCGCCTCGGTATCTTCGAGGACTATATTAATTATAAATGCAGTCGTTGAATAGCAGCGTCCATGGCTTCCTAGACCTGTCTATCTTACACTAATGCGCTTCTGGATATTCGACTATCCAGATAAATACATGCGACAATCTAAGTGCGCAGGAAATCACGTTATATATAGCCTAAAGGGACCAAAACTAGAACAAAAAATCAAACGTATAAAATATAAAGCACGAACGGTATAGTATGAAGGGTAAGGGTATAGGCAAAGTCAAAGAACGTAAAGTCGTTCGTGAGCCGACATCGATATCAAGAATGACAGGTGAGAAAGTCGATAAGAGTAATCAAATGAAAGAGACGCCGTGGCAAGTCGTATACGTGCGAACGTAAAAGCGGAGGAAGAAGATAGAAAATGGAGGGGAATGGATGGAGTTGTCGGCATGCCGACTCTATGGTTGGAAGATCGTGTCTCCGTTTGGTCCTGGATGTGGCTGCAAGTGACCATAGCCAAGACGTATTTCAGACAGAGCTGCTTTTGCTTTCTGGATAATCCTCTTGAAGCAGGCTCTGCCTTCCCTCCAAGGGAATATAAACCCCATTTACTCCACTACCCCCTTCCAAGAAAAGAAGAGAAGAAGTATCATCACATCGTAACAGCGTAAATTAACAGCACAACACCTCACGGATTCAGCTTAGTAGTGGAGTCATTTCCCGGAAGTATAGAAATATCCGTCTGGACATTGATAATCTGCGGGTGTAGATCATCACCAAGGTGTCTGGGTGCCTTGCCCTCGACCTGAGCATTGTACATCTTAATATACTCAAAGTCCGGGGAGAGGGGGCTAGATTTCGACAAGAACAAAGAGTTCGTGTGATCGGTATTGATATACGCCGGACCCGTTCCATTGCGCGAGCCCCCTAACTTAAGCGCCGGGAACAAGCCACGGATGATCGGCAAGTTAGAGCAAATCAAACCAACGGCAGGCTCGATGTGGGTCCACAGAGTCGCCTGGTAGACAGTGAAGGTTGGGTCAGACGGGCTGATCCAGAAGAGCACGACGATGCGGTAGATGCTTGCGAAGCAGACGAAGCCGCCGAGTGCGAACACCCCGTTCAGCGCGAGCTTGTCTTGCCACGCGCGGTGGAGGTTCCAGATCATTGGGATGGGCAGGATGAGGATCACGAAGTCCATTAGTACGTTGAAGGCTTGGTTGACAATGATGAATTCCAGCGCGTTGAAACATGTTCCTTTAACGCTGTGGTCCCAGTATGCCCGTAGCGGTCGACATTGTCCTGCGCAGGCTAGGAAGATTCCTGTGCCCCAGGCGGCGATTAGGCAGTTTAGGCCGAAGCTGACTGTTTGGAACTTTGGGGTTGAGAAGAGGCGTCGGTAGAAGCAGATGATGGAGATCTTGATACAGGGGCAGAGTAGGAAGTAGGTGAATTGGTTGGAGAGGAAGATCTGGGTGGTGTTAGTTGGGGTTGTTGGATTAGTGTATTGGCGGGGTACATACCTTCCAGTAGTTCATGAGGGTTTTGGGAGAGAGATCCGCGATATGGGCACCATTGCCTCCAATTGAACACCCTGTAATGCTGTTAGTATTTAATGAAATTTCAATGTGGTGGGTTAGGAACATACAAAGAATGAGCTCGACCAACATCGCAATGAGGAGCACCATGGACACGAGGCTCAAATAATCATCTATGCCGAACCCGACTCTCCTGCGAAGGCGAGCGACGACTCGCAGCACCACTGAGATTAGGCAGAGACTGACCAAGACCGAAATGATCTCAATCATCTGCCAACCCTTCTTGCTTGGCGCCATTGTACTTCTCAACAAGCAACCGAATATTAAAAGAGTGAGGATTGCAACCGAACAGAAAAAGGTAGGGTATGTGTGAATAAAAAAAGGAATGACTGGGAAGCACACGATCTGAGGGCGTTCACCGATATAAAACGTGTGGTACGAAGTACCACGCGAATATCCAGATCAGCCCGGAGCCCTGGTACCCTAGGCCAGCTCAAAATTCCATCCACGGTTCTATCCACTCACACGCAAGCCCTAGTGGCCGATCATTGTCCCGAAGGGGGTCTCGGGATATGCATCGACTCGACAACTTGCATTATGCAATGTGACCTCCCACAAAAGTTTGCTAAATAGTAGACACCTCTTTCCGATTTTTGGGTCTCCAGCACAATGTATTATGTCGTTAAACAGGACAATAGCATACAAAGAAGTATACCTTCATCCATCATTGTCTAGGAATGATAAATGCATTCTTTGCAAAATAGGCCAGTGGATCCAAAGTGGGTTAACAGCCACATTAGGAAGGACGCTACGATCGCCGTCCGATAACCACATGGGCAGCTGATGACGAGAACCGAGTCATGCAACATTGAATTGACTATTGCTGCACTATTGCCTTTAGACTATCTTTATTCCTTATCTTGCATCCACTCCATATATTCTCATGGATGTGTATGTGCATGTACGTGCGGAGTAGGTAGTACTCCATAGGCACCTATGTATAACTCCACAGAAGAACCTTGCTGGAAAAGCTAACCGCAACCATAGACGCCACCACGATCTCACCCACGGTTCACTCTTCTTTCGGGTTTCGGGTAAACATGACATGTAGATCGCGAGTCAATAGCGTGGAAAATCAGCGCTATTAAATTGCCAAGAGCAGAGTTTAACCAGAGCTAACACGCTACTGTGAACACATCCAGACACAGAAGTTGATATAGAGGGGTTCATCACATCGTACATATGCAAACAAGCCATACCATAGTGGGGGTTCAGATAACCGGTTAAAGGCCTGTTTCAAGCGCGATTGAACGCAGTGGGCCCTTCTGGTCTATTATTGAACGTCAGATTCTCCAGTTGCCTCATAACATTGTCGATCACTGGAGCACTCCCCTGAAAGTGCCGCTTCGTGTACGCATCTGCCGAATTATGTACATAGGACACGGATCTTCATTGGTTGACAGTGGATTAAAAACCAGCAGCAGCATTAATTAGTTAAACCATGGAAAGCTTACTCGGTAATCAAATAGTCGTCGCATAGCGCGGGATAGTACCATTGGGCAACCGACGCAATTCCTGGTAAAGATCGTCCTCATTCGCATCCGAATTCTGCCAATTCAATAAGGGGTGGAACCGAAATGGAATGCAATGTAAAAGAGTAAAGAGCAAAAGAGCAAAAAAATTTTATCCCGAGGCCGAATAGTGTTCTCTGTTTTCCCCTCACATTGGACCAGTATACATCCTATACTCCATACCTTTATCTCTACCCTACCACTACCTAGCCCTCCACCATGACAACCCCAACCAACACCGGACTCACAGTCCCCATCCTAATAAACGGCAATGAAGAAACAACCCCTGACACCTTCCCAGTAACAAGTCCCTACACCAACACGACCATCTGGACCGCCTCCGCCGCCACACCCCAAGATGCAATCCGCGCCGTCGAAGCCGCCGACGCCGCCTTCCCCTCGTGGTCGCAGACAAAACCAACCGTGAGACGTGACATCCTACTCAAAGCCGCCGATATCCTCGAGGCCCGCCTCGACACCAATGCCGAGTACATGCGCCAAGAGATGGGCGCAGACGTCGGGGCCTCCGCGGGGTTCGTTGTCCCGCTTGCAGTGCGCATGCTGCGCGAGGTTGCAAGCCGCATTACATCGATCTGTGGCAGTGTGCCTGTCGTCGAGAGGGAGGGACAGAGTGCAATTATCTTTAAAGAGGCGATGGGTGTTATTTTGGGGATTGTGCCGTGGTGAGTATCTCCAACTTGATCTGTCTTTTCATCGGGCATAGATGTATGAAATGTAATTAAGGCTAATTGTTGGTACAGGAACGCTCCCTACGTCTTCGGCATCCGCGCCGCGGCCTGTGCCCTCGCAGCTGGCAACACAACAATCCTCAAATCTTCCGAACTAACTCCCCGCTGCTACTGGGCAATCGGTCGTGCCTTCGAAGATGCAGGTCTCCCCGCCGGCTGTTTGAATATCATCCACTGCGCCCCACAGGACGCGCCCGAGGTTGTCAATGCGATGATCGAGCACGACGCCGTGCGCAAGATCAATTTCACCGGTAGCACGGCTGTTGGTCGGAAGATCGCTCGCGCCTGTGGTCAGAACCTCAAGCCCTGTCTTATGGAACTGGGCGGGAAGAATAGCTCGATTGTCTGTCAGGACGCTGATTTGCAGACTGCCGTGCAGGGAGTGTTGGCGGGGGCGTTTTTGAATGTGAGTTTGGGTTACACTGCGCATGTCGCACGCATATCTATATCTGTCTTCGAGTCAATAGCTAACCCAATTTTTCTTTCTGTGTCTAGTCCGGCCAGATCTGTATGGCAACTGATCGAATCCTCGTCCACACCTCCATCCTCCCGGCCTTCACAGAAGCCCTGCAAAAGGCCCTCGCGGCCGGCGCTGCAGCCTCGGCTCTCCCGCCAACGCTCGTCAACACTGCCTCCAAGACCCGCGTCGAAGCCCTGATCGCCAGTGCTGTTTCAGCAGGCGCACACTTCATCTCCGGGTCTGCGGACAGTGTCCCCACCGACTCGGGCGTGCGCATGGCGCCCGTCGTCCTAGGCGGTGTGAAGGAAGACATGGCGCTGTGGCAGGAAGAGTCTTTCGCGTCTGTTGCGGCGTGCATGCCCTTCGAGAGCGAGGACGAGGCGATCCGTCTCGCGAATGGAAGTGGGTATGGACTTTCGGCGTCTATTTTCACGGAGAATCTGCGGAGGGGCTTGGCGATGGCTAGGCGCATTCAATCTGGGTATGTTGTCGGGTGTTCCAGACCGAGATTCCGCTTTTATTTTCGTTCTGGGTGGATTCGGTGGATATGTGGATATGTTATGCTGACTTGATTGCAGGGCGGTTCATATTAATAGCATGACGATCCATGATGAGCCGGCTCTTCCTCATGGCGGTGTGAAGAATAGTGGCTGGGGCCGGTTCAATACTGATGAGGGATTGAATGAGTTCTTGGTCACGAAGAGTGTGACCTGGATGGATTAGGACTTTCTTTGGGCGTTTTGGTCCGGTTCTTATTTTGTAGCGCTGTTTAGCTGCACATTTCGTGTATTAGAGCATATGTACATATCCATCAAACATATCCCATTTTCTTGCATATAGCCGACTCGTCACGTCCGAGAAATACGGTTCGATGGTCTTCTCGCTGGCGCGTGGACTCTATACTTTTTCGGTCGGCATTAACCCGAGCGACCGAGTGGGGATTCACAAAAGGTCAATGTGCTATGGATCTCAACGAGAAAAAAAGGGGGATGAGCTGCAATTCTCACGAAGCTTCTCTCCTAGTTTATCTACAGAATGCCAAAAAGGTCGGCATTTGAATCGAAAAAAACACAAAATGGACACGGTGACACATGAGGTCATCAGGCCCACTGAGGCAATTCCCATCCCCGGATTAGGTCAGCCCCACAGTATTCTTCCACCAATCAGAGGACACAGGTTCCTCAGCCGGCAACTGCTTTTGCCTCTTTTCGGTCTACGTTTTCCAAGGGTTGATACTTCTGAAGATTGACTTGGATATAATTCTGTATTATATACATATGTACTATATGTATGCGTTGAATATATCCAAGAGGTTGAAGGATTCAAATGTCAAAGTGGTACTTTCTCCTCATCATGCCATGCAGTCCGGCAACTGCGGACACCGCAATTGTTATTCCGAGGTTCGCAGCTCTCACATACTGTGAGGACCGAGGAAGCCGGAATTCAATGTCAGTTCTCTGTCTCTGAAAAGCACACCTATTATGCAGTAGTTATGCAGTAGTTATATGTGTTCTAATTCCGTCGACATTTCCGATATACTTTCTGTCTTTTTTCCTATTACCTTCCCCTCAACTCCTTGAAGGACAAGAATGTGACATGACATGGGCGCATGTGAAAATGAAAATGTAACATTCTAGACTTTCGAATCTAATAAGATGTATGTACAAATATTATATCGCATGTGATCCCAACTTCCCCAGACTGCAATAAAAAACAGACAAACCAGAGGTGGCCAATTAGTATTCCAGCGGGTACCCCCATCTTTCCTCTCCCCACGTCTTCTGCTATTTCGTGCCTCGGCCGATAGACCGTCGGCTTCTGACCTGACCCCCGAACCCTCTTTTTCTTTAAGATCCTCTCCTTCCTCTCTCCTTTCTATTCTTCCCCATATTTCCCTTCACCTCTACACATAACATAATGGCTGCACCTCAAGTAATTGTGGTCGGTGGTGGCCGTAAGGATCCTTTCCCCGCATTCTCCCCCTGCCACCAGCTGACCCTCTCCAGTCTCTGGCCTCAGCGCCGCACACACCATCTACCTCAACGGTGGCAATGTCCTCGTTTTGGATAAGCAGGCTTTCTTTGGTGGTAACTCTACCAAGGCCACCTCCGGTATTAACGGAGCTCTCACTCGCACCCAGACCGATCTCGGCATCCAGGACAGCGTCAAGCAGTTCTACGAAGATACCCTCAAGTCGGCCCGTGACAAAGCCCGTCCCGACCTGATCAAGGTCCTGACCTACAAGTCCGCCTCCGCCGTCGAGTGGCTGCAGGATGTCTTCAACCTCGACCTCACCCTCGTCTCCCGTCTCGGAGGACACACTCACCCCCGCACACACCGTGGCCATGACGCCAAGTTCCCCGGTATGGCCATCACCTACGCCCTGATGCAGCGATTGGAAGACCTCGCCGAAAACGAGCCCGGTCGTGTCCAGATCGTCAAGAAGGCCAACGTCACCTCCATCAACAAGTCCGGTAACAATGTCACCGGCGTTACCTACACCATCAACGGCGAAGAGAAGTCTGCCGACGGTGTGGTCGTTCTCGCTACCGGTGGTTATGCCGCTGACTTTAGTGACACCTCCCTCCTCAAGAAGCACCGCCCCGACACATTCGGTCTGTCCTCCACCAACGGCACCCACGCTACCGGTGACGGCCAGAAGATGCTGATGGCCATCGGCGCCAACGGCATCGACATGGATAAGGTCCAGGTCCACCCCACCGGTCTGGTCGACCCCAAGGACCCAGGCGCCAAGTTCAAGTTCCTGGCTGCCGAAGCCCTGCGCGGTGAAGGTGGTCTCCTCCTCAACTCCGAAGGCCAGCGCTTCTCTGACGAGCTCGGTCACCGCGACTACGTCTCCGGCAAGATGTGGGAAGAAAAGGAGAAGGGCAAGTGGCCCATCCGTCTCGTCCTCAACAGCAAAGCCTCCAAGGTCCTGGACTTCCACACCCGCCACTACTCGGGCCGCGGCCTGATGAAGAAGATGACCGGCGCCGAGCTCGTTGCCGAAATCGGCTGCGGCGAAGCAGCTCTCAAAAAGACCTTCGACGAGTACAACCTCATCGCCGACGGCAAGAAGAAGGACCCCTGGAACAAGCGCTTCTTCCACAACATGCCCTTCAAGCTCGACGACGAGTTCCACGTCGCTCTCATGGAGCCTGTCCTCCACTTCACTATGGGCGGCATCGAGATCAACGAGCACGCCCAGGTCCTCAACAGCGAGCAAAAGCCCTTCGACGGCCTTTACGCCTGCGGTGAACTTGCCGGCGGCGTCCACGGCGCCAATCGTCTCGGCGGTTCCTCCCTCCTCGGCTGTGTTGTCTACGGGCGTGTCGCAGGTGACTCCGCCTCCCAGCACCTCTTCCAGAAGCTCATCACCAACGGCTCCTCCGCCGCCTCCCAGCGTCTCGGCCAGATCTCCCTCCACATCGACCCCAACACCCCGGGTAAGGTCTCTGTCGAGTGGGGCGGCGCCGCTACCGGTGGAAACCTGCCCGCTCTTGCCGTCCCGGCTGCGCCTGCTGCCGCCGCCGAGGCTCCCGCCCCCAAGTCTGATCCCGCGACCTTCAAGGTCCCAGACACTGAGTACTCCATGGAGGAAGTCGCCAAGCACAACTCCAAGGAGGACCTCTGGGTTGTGGTCAAGGGCATCATCCTTGATCTCACTAACTGGGTCGATGAGCACCCCGGTGGCGCAAACGCCCTGTACAATTTCATGGGTCGCGATGCTACCGAGGAGTTCGCTATGCTCCATGACGATGAGGTTATTCCCAAGTACGCAGCTCAAACTGTGATTGGTCGTGTTAAGGGCCAGACCCCCAGCTTGGAGCTGTAGAGGTTCTATCAAATCCTTCTTTTCCCTTATGCCTCTTTTCCCTCACGACTTCTCTCCTCCGATGAAATATGATCCTCCAGCGTGTGATCTCTCATACCCCCGTTTCGTCTCTTTCTGCTGTTTCTTGTGCTGGCTTTGGCACGCGCTTCTTCCAGTCCTCGAGATCCAAGATCCTGCTTGGGTCAACATATTGGTTCTTGTGTAACATACATACATAGCTCATTTTGGAATATATTCTTTGGAATTATAGATCGGCTTTGGATGTGATGTAGTTGTGGTTGTAGTCGTAGCTGTGACTTCTGTGGTCCCTCTATTCTAGGGCTTCGAGTGTCGCGCCTAGAAAGGCCTGCCCAGATGATACATACACTCAACCTTGCCCAGGTGGGCAGAATACAGCTAGCTAACCCTGAATACCGATGATTGCCGAGGTAAAAACGGCACCAATGTTTATCTGGCCGTCTTCGTATCAGCCAAACCTCACTCCTTACTAACTCGCGTATATCTAGCCTAATATTTACATATACAAGTACATGGTATATCGAAACCAGGCCAAACAGCCCTCGTACTAGTACTCCGCAACGTAAAGCCCACGGAGTACTCCGTACAATCACCCCTTCATATGCATCAAAATCATCTTCAACCGCCGCACAGCAGGCCCATCCTCCCCAGCCCCCTTCCCCTCAATCTCGGCCCTCGCCTCTTCAAGCACAGGCTGCAAAAACCCCCAAACCTCGTCATGATACCTCTCCTGAACACCAACCCAATCACCCGCACCGGGCAGATTCATCAGAACAGCATCGCGGAGGGAAGTAGCAGTAGAAGTAGAAGTGGAACCTGTAGTATCCCCCTCCCCAATCCCAATCCCACTCCCAGCTCCCTGACTCAAAAAGACGTCAATATCAGGGACAAGACTCGCCCCCGTTAACCGTCCCTCCCTTTTCTCCTTCTCCTCATTCAGTCCCAACCCCCTCCGAAAAGAGTCAAGCGCCTCCCTCTCCGCCGTAGAAAGCGGACCCGGGGCAGCGGCGATATCAATCTCGGTATCCGGCACCGTCGTCGGATCCTCGAAATTCGGGTCGAAGTTTGTATCGGATAGCAGAGACACGACGGCTGCGCCGTCTGTCGTTGAGGTAGATGTTGTCCTCTCCGGGTTGTGTGGATATTGGCGCTGCCAGACGGTTTCAAACTGGTGTTGGTTCGGGTCGTGGGCGCGTGCTTTGCCTTTCCAGGTTGAGGAGGAGGTTTGGATGTCTTCGTGGGGTTGGGGTTGGTTTGTAGTTGTTTTTGTGGCTGTGGTTGTGGATACGGGTGTGCGTAGGAGGTTCATCTCTCTCTCATCTCCTATTCCTATTCCTATTTCATCGTACCCGTATGCATGCTGGAACTCGTCTTCCGTCAAGGCGGGTAGAGCGAATCCACCCGGTGTGGGTGTCGATGTATCTTGTTCGCGGAAAGCTTGCGTTGCAGAACTGGAACCTGACCCGGACGCGGAACCGGGACCTCCATGCGGTGTGGTATTTGTGGATAGCTCCCTGCTTGTCTGTGTATTTGCGAGGTTGGATGGACCGGCTTGTTTACTGCTCGTGCTGGATGCTAGGGTCTTGGCGAGGTCGGGGCTCGGTTGGAATGCGCTTCTTGCTAGGCCTGTTGCGGAGGTTTGGATGCGGGTTGCCAGCGAGGGGGCTGCGGGGTTGGGAGGGGCTTGGTGGGAGGGGTTGTTTGAGGTTGAGGACGATGGGGCTGGGGCTGGGGTTTTGGAGCTTTGGTTGGAGTTGGAATAGCCCCGCATGTTCTCTTGGTTGGTCATGGCTTGGGTTGGTTTTGGGATTGGGAATAGGGATCATAGGTTGGGATAGGTAGGGATTGAGGGTTGAGGTTGGGATGTAGGGCTTACGATTCGGGGATGGGGTAGCTCTTGTCGGCTTGGTGTTCGGCTTAATATGCTTGGGTCGGATGATGTACGGAAGCATGTGAAGGTCGGGATGAAGGATATAGGGTTGCTGGGATAGGGTAAATGCTATACTGTATAACATTTAATGAGGTAGTTCAATGTTTTTAGTTATAGAATCTTCGAATTAGTCTCATTTAGAAATATGACCAAGCTCGGCATTCTGTTAGATATGTTGGACTGTCAAATATATACATACGTACTTACAGAACTATACTCACAATGAATTCTCAATATTAGCATATGGATGCTCCGGTTTTGAATATCTTCAATTACCTTTCTTGCATCTGCTTGATAGCATATGATATATGCCAATGCTTAATTTGGCGGAGACCTGCTTGGGCCTCAAGGATGACGACAGAGGCGCATAGTACTCCTTTGGGTATATAGAGAATCAAATACAGAATCGAAAGAGATAGATTCGGCTCATTCTGAGCAAGTAGCTTGATAATAATTCAATACTTCAATTGCTATTCCAACTTTAACCCTCAGTTGCCAGTCGCATACGGGTTCCAAGGCCGGGGGGAGGGGCGCAACGGGCAATGTTACAGTCGCTGGCAGTGTTGATGTCAGCATGTTGCAGGTGATCTGAATTCTTTTGAAGAGAATATTCAATATCATATTGAATCAAAATTATTATTATCATTCATATTCAAGAGAAATAACTAGAATACCCTTCTAATATTGACGGTGCCCAAGAAGCGTCACTTGGTCCGTAACGAACCTCCCCACCACCGCCTCAACTCATCTGGGCAACTTCACCTCGCAACTTCTTTTCCTTGTCTTTCTTCATCTCCGGACCAAGTACGCAACCCCATCGCCCCTTCAGCTTTTTTTTCTGTATTTTTGTTTGTTCTAACACGAAGGCCAAATAGAAACTTTTCTCTTATGATCCCCTCATCAAGCTCTGCTGCGGGTCCACTCATAACAAGCACATTCACGGTGTTCTATCATCAACCGTTGCCATCTCATTCGGCAACAGCTCTTCATTCTTCAGCTCGTCTTTCCCGACTTGGATTCTAGCTGTTCCCCTCTGCCCCTCTTTTCGCCTTACCGCCATCCGCCCTCACCCCTCGCACACCATCTCCGGTGACCGACTGTTCTCTCAATTTCCGCTTTCTCCGTTATTCCCATCCGACCGAATTCTTTCGTGTCGGCTATCGCACCTACTTCGCTTCAACCCGAGTGATTCTTTGCATCGACAATAGAGCTTTCAGAGGCATTTGCCAACCTGCCTTTCCCGTCCCTCCTATCTTGGCCCTTGCCCTTGTCGCGTTCAAGGGCTAGCTAGAACGTGAAAATGGTAGACAGAGATCCAGGCACACCTACCTGGAAGTTCACACAGTAAGTTTGCCTTGGATCGCACCCTTCGGACCTTCCCACCGTATGGTTTCCATTTTTCTCTTCCTTTCACCCAGGCGCCATTGACCCAAAGTCACCACAAAGAGTCATTGAATGGCAGCTAACTTGGTCTCAGATGCTTCGGCGATAAAGGTGATGTAGAAGATATTACAGAAGGTAATTGGCAACCTCCCTCACACTACTCGGCCGAACCTGGTCAATTTCCACAGAGTGCATCGACTGACACGCGCTCTGCAGCGGACATCATCTCGACCGTCGAATTTGACCACACCGGTAACTATCTGGCCACTGGTGACAAGGGAGGAAGGGTGGTATTGTTTGAGCGAAACGAGACGGTAGCTCACCCCCTCCGGCCTTTTTTCCAATTTTTCTTTTTCCTGTTTTGCCTTGGGCTAATCACTGAACGCAGAAAAAAACCTGCGAGTATAAGTTTCACACAGAGTTCCAGTCACACGAGCCGGAGTTCGATTATCTCAAGTCGCTAGAGATCGAAGAGAAGATCAACAAGATAAAATGGTGCCGACGACAGAATGCATCCCATTTCCTCCTTTCGACGAACGACAAAACGATAAAGCTTTGGAAGGTCTTCGACAAGTCGCTGAAAGTGGTCGCCGAGAACAACTTATCGAATGAGCTCACCCCCGCAAACCAGGTTGGAGGTGGAGGTATGGCTCGCGCACCCCGCGTATCCTTCAAGGACCCCTCCGCGCTCAAGTTGCCTCGTCTGACACACCATGACACTGTTGTTGCCGCTGTTCCGCGGAGAACATACGCCAACGCTCACGCGTACCATATAAATAGCATCTCCGTTAACAGCGACGGTGAAACCTTTATCAGCAGTGACGACCTGCGAGTGAACCTATGGAATCTCAACATCCAGGATCAGAGCTTCAACATCGTGGATATCAAGCCAGCGAATATGGAGGAACTCACGGAAGTCATCACTGCCGCCGAGTTCCACCCGGTTAGCTGTAACTGGTTCATGTATGCCAGCTCCAAGGGCACAATCAAGCTTGCGGATATGCGGCAACGGGCGTTGTGTGACGAACACGCCAAGCGTACGTACAATTGGGAAATTGCGCCAATTACTTTTACTGACTGTTTTATTGCAGAGTTCGAACAAGAAGAGGATGCCTCGTCCCGTTCATTCTTCTCCGAGATTATCTCCTCCATCTCCGACGTGCGATTCTCCAACGACGGGCGGTACATTGTCTCCAGGGACTACCTGACAGTGAAGATTTGGGATGTCAACATGGAACGCCAGCCAATCAAGACCATTCCTATCCACGAGCACCTGCGCCCTCGCCTCTGCGATACGTACGAGAACGATAGCATCTTCGACAAGTTCGAGGTGGTCTTCTCAGGCGACGCGGAGAACGTTATGACCGGCAGCTACAACAACAACTTCATGATCTACCCCACAGAAGAACAAAAGGATACGGAGATTGTGCTCCAGGCAGACAAGTCGGCATTCAAGGCAAAGAAGGTTGGTGTACCGACACCGATGAGCAAGGGTAACGGAAAGAAGGCCGGTTCGCGATCCGGCAGCCCTGCCGGCCCCGGCAGTCGCATGAAGAAGGAGACCGATGCCGACCAGATCGACTTCAACAAGAAGATCTTGCACATGAGCTGGCATCCATTCGAAGACAGCATTGCAATTGCGGCGACGAACAACGTAAGTTCTTTTTGTCTCTGTCCGAATCCTAACAATTCTAATTGCGAATACAGCTCTTTGTCTTCTCCGCTCTTTAATCGCACCAAGTACCGTCCCGTCACAAGGCCATTATCATTTTCCATGGACAGGCGCATCTGGGGTTTGGATCGGGTGGCAGGGCCTTGGTGAACAGGCAAGATATGAAGAATGAAAACCAAGAAAATAATGATAGCAGCAAGCCACAGGTTCCATAATCATATTCCCCCCATTCCCTATCTCTGCTCTCATTGTGGAACTCTGTCTGAGTTTTGGAGACCTAGTTTTCCTTTCCCTATGTCCCCTCTTACTCTTTTGCTGCTATTGCGGTGGGGTTGCCAAAGGCGTTGTATGGTGGCCAACTCATGATAGAGAATGCCACGCCTGGTTTGAGGCCATTTCCATAGTTAGTACTGAAGGACCTCTATAGATTTGGTAGCTAACTAGCATTGTGTTGGAAATCCTTCCCTGTATAGATTTACGGTTTAGGCATTTTTTCTTGCTTTTCTGTTACTTTCTCTGAATACAATATAGGTACGGAAAAGGCATCAAGAAGGTAGCTCGAAAATGCATCTTTTAGAAAGGAGCTTGAAAAAGATACCCAAGAGGCCACGGCATTGTCAGCCAGCCCTTCCCCTCCGCCCCTTTCCGAGGCTTGACAAGCGAGAGGTAGCCCCAGCCTTCAGAACGAGCCTCATTATGCAGTTTGATACAGGGGATAGACTATACAATGAACAGTAAGCTGCAACTCTATTCAAGCCATTCACCTCCATCCATGACTCATGCTATTCACATTTGTTCACCTGTCCACTCGATGCCAGTCATGTTTTTCTGCCGGCAATGGCGGGCGATGACGAAGGCGGACTGAAGTTGACCTATCGCACAATACCACACATGACCAATGTACCGCCTCCCATTGACGGAAATCCCGCCAATAGATACAAACAAATACCGTAACGAATGAATTCTGAATACACCTCGGAGAATCGAATGTCCGATAAGCACCCACTAAACCACAATAGGTTAGCTCCGGAGAGGAAAGCCTCCACAGGAGCCCGCGATCGGTCGCGCGCAATTCCATCACCCCAGTCTGTCTCCTTCTTGTCTATCATACTTCTCCGCCGGTTCTTTCTTGCTGTGTGGAGTTGGATCCTGTCTTCTTATCTGCAAGAGTCCGGGTCATGCTGTGACCCTACTGCAACCTGAGCGTTGCCAGTCGATTCCTACCCACGAGACTACGAGCTCCAGCTCTTCGATTACCAGACCCTGTTACTTTTTCTCCCCTCCTCGACCCTTCTTATCCGTCAAACCTACCGTTCTACTTCTCTGCTACTGGGGTTTGTGCATAAACCATGAACTCTGGAAGCGATAACTGGCACTCCTCCGGTGGGCCGCCGTCGCATCCTGGCATCGATCAAATGAACCAGCAGCCTCGGCCCCTGGGGTCATTCAGGTACGAGCACTCGTATATAGTACAAGTGGCTTCATATCTCGATATCAGAGACTAATTCGATATTCTTGCGCTTCAACAGTCAAAATCCCTCTCAGCAAGGCCAGGCCTCACAGCCCTCGGGCCCTGTACTTCCCCCTCCGGGTGGTGAGTGCCTCTTTGTGGACTATGGATTTCCTCGTGGGATCCAATAATAAAAAGAAACCGTACAAACTAACTGGTTATTCTATTGTAGCACCCTACCACCCTAGTCAGTCAGGTGGCCATTCTCTTCCTGGACTGGCAGAATTAAGCCAGACCCACGGAGGGCCGCACCAACCTTCCGCGTACGGCCAGCACCCAGCAGGCTCATCGCAT